GTCAAAAAGCACCACATTTTCATCTCTGAACTTATTTTGTATGATTCCCTGTAAAGCTGAGCCAATTTTATTGTGTTGAGCAGTGAACTTGCTGACCTCTCTGACATCATGATTAAGCATTTGCCAAACTCTATAATGAGATTAAATTATTTATGTGTAAACACATTTTTCTTGACAGGTAATCCTGTGTGTGTGAAACAATGAAATCCTAATTACTAAAGTCAGATAAAATCATTCATTCATTCTGTCCCACCATCGCACCCCACCACCCCCAGCCTCTATCTCTCCTCCTTCATTCTCACTATCCTTCTTCCTCTCCCTCTCTTTCTCCCAGTCCATCTCCTTCTTCTTCTTACTTTGTAATCGCTGATGCTGCTCATTCCGATGTAAGGAGAAATGCAGTTTGCAACGAACAACAGAAGTAAGGGCACACCAAAAAACCCACTTCTTAGTGTCATGTAACTCTGGAAGTCCAAAACACATCTGTAAGCTATTGAAATGGTTACAGACCATACAATCAAACATATTTATAAGTTTTGGGAGTTGGTGGGGGTGGGGGAGGGAACAGTGAACAACTCAAAATGGAAGCATGCACCTCATTTAAGAAGCAAAGAGAAAAGTAAACATGTTTGTTTGTTACCCTTAATAGCAGGTTCCATTCCCAGGAACTATATGATATCAAAAGAAATTCAAAATCTGAACTTTATATGCATATATTTAGAGGCATGAGCAGTTTCTCTTCCATATTTGCATCTAGTAATTGTTAAAGGATGACAGATTGTCTTCGGAGCTACACTTAAGAGTGTCTGAAGCACTGAGCAAGGTTGTCATTTGTTCCAGTTCCCTATTTCTGAGAGGATGAATTATAAACAACAGCCTCTAACAGTAATTGCAAAACTCTAATAGTAATTGTCTTAAAGCTGTTCTTATGTTCTTGTTCTTACATACAAGATATAATTAGAGGAGAGCAAATTTTTCCTGCATAAATAATTTCTTGACTTCAAGAAATGTTTAAATTAAACAATCTTTAAGGCATGAAGGGGTCTTACTATAAATCTANCATACAATTAAATTTGGGGAAGTTACCAAATGTCCTTTAAATGCACTGCCATTCTTGGGGGTGGAAAAAAAAGTGAGGAATTCTTCAAGGACAAATACAAAGCCTGAAACCCAACTTGGACCAGAAAACACGAAATCTGAGCAACGTGGGGAACAAATGCGTATTCCAGCACAGGGATAAGGAGGCTAAGACTTACGCCCTCCTTAACGTCCTTCCCTGCAAATACCTCCAGGGAAACAAAATGAAACCCTCTTTATGGGTGTTCCTTGCAAATCCCATATTAGGGCATGATACTTTAAAAATGGCTTATGTAATCCAAGTTGATTCTATACTGTACTTCTTACAAAAGTAACTGAAAATTCTTTTCGGATAAAAAGATCCCCAACATAGGATCTTGGGAATGCCATACTTAATACCCAAGCAAACATGAGCAACTAATAAAAAAAATTTATCAAACATACAAGGCAACAAGCCACAATAAGTGTGAATCATGAGTGGGAAAAACAACAAATTAAAACTATCTGAAGACTGTAGATATTAGAATTGTCAAATAACAAATACAAATTATTATTTTCAATTAAATGTATAAGGAAATCAAATGTGGAATGGAAAACACAAGCAAGTAACAAAAGACCGTGAGGAACAACTGTGCATTTTTTAAATAGAACCAAACAGAGTTTTGGAAAAGAAAATTGAAATTTCAAAAATCAGTCAAAGATTAAAATAATTCATACACAGCTTAGTTTAAAAAACAAGTGAATTAGAAAAAAACTCTGAAATATTTCCCAGAATGCAGCAAGGACAAGGACATGAAAATTTTTAATAAAATGTTAAGTGATGTGGAGACTAGACTGAGAATAACTAATAGTAATACCATCTCATAGAGTCCAGGGAGCACAAAGAAGGCCATTAGGTGGGCCCTAACCCAGTATGACTACTGTCCTTATCAGCAGAGGAACTTTAGACACAGAAGACCAGTGAAGACACTGGGAGATGATGGCCATCTACAAGCCAAGGGCAAAGGCTTCAGAAGAAACAATTCTGCAGATACCTTGATCTCAGACTTCTATTTCCAGAACTGTAAGGAAATAAATTTGTGTTGTTTAAGCCTCCCAATTTGTGG